CCATTTACTTTCTGTCAGGCTGAAATAAGGTTTATGTACAGTACGTGCAACACCAGTGCCTTTGCATTAGCCTTATTTGATAATTAATTACTAGCTATAATATTCGTATTACGCCGTCTTAAAACTACGTTTTACTAGCATCTCTAGTTGTAGAAAGTAGACTTAGAAGGCTCTTGCGCATAGGATTTTAGTGTTCCTAGCGCATAGGCCCGTCGGCGAATACTTGTAGGGTGAATCCCTCGGAAGTGACGCTTGTCAAATGACGCCTACCACTAAGTGATCTTCGCCTCAGCCCTAAACCTTAATTCGGCCTGACAGAAAGAAAATGAATGAATAATGAAGGAATTCCTAGGTGGTATTCGAAGTATTCTGGCTAGTCCTATAATTCCATATATGATATACTCGTTCTACGTTTAGGCTGCGCAATGGGTACCCATAGGCATGATTTTTTAAAAGCTACCCACCCGTGGGTATACCCACTAATGGGTACCCATTAGTGGGTTGGGTACTACCCATTAGTGGGTACCCTACGGGTAGCCAAGAACCCACAAAAAAATGAGGATATACTCTTGCCAAGCCTTTTAATAAGGATTATAAAATTAGAAGGAGGTATAAAGTGAGATATATATTTAGTAAAGCTTAGAGAAAGTAATATATATATTATATAAGATACACTTAATCTATTTTCTTCTTATATAAAGTATATAAAGCTATATTTTATTAATTTCTAAATAAAAGCACAAAAAGCATATAAGCATAATTACCTTAGAATAATTTAAGACCTTTTTGACTCTTGACAGTCTTCACTTCGACAGTCTTCACTTCGAATCCGAAGCTTTGATCGCCTGTTTGTTTAGCAAGCAAATAAGATCACTTTCTTTAAATTACAAAGTAAGGCATGTATAAGCATGTTCCTGCTTAAATAAGCGATTGGCTTTTAAGAAGCGCCTTTGCCTTAGTATACGTCGCCTAGTATAGGCTTCACTTCGGTAGGCTCACTTCGGGCCCGGAAGAGCCTCCGGAGCCCCCGGAGTCCTTGAAGCGACGAGCCTTAGACGCGACAAGCCTTATAAGGAGTAAAACTCACTTTCTACCTTTAAAGCTTAATAAAAGTTTAAATAAAAATACTAAAAAGATTCTATCTTAATTTTTGTAATCTATAGGTTTTTTTAGCCTAGAAAAGTTCCTCTAAGGCTTATATAGGGTTAGTATAATCTTATACAAGTTCTTATGCAAGTATTATACAATAATTATACAAATGGGTACCCGCGGGTAACCCACTGGGTAGTAGACCTCACCTACCCACCATGCAGTCTATCTACGTTTCACTATCAGAGCTAGAAAGTTGAAGTATCCAGCATTGATTTATAGATATTCATAAAAACTATTGTTCCTCACCAATCTCGTGGATTGAGAAAAGCCATGCATCTGATACCACGCTCTCGGTGGAACAGAAGATGCCTATTTTGTCGCATATCCTGTTCTAAGTTGAGGAGATAGTACCGGCTCTCGCTTCCAGCCCATTCTGGCCTGGCCTTTAAAATTCTCCCTTCGTCGTCCCATACTGACAACCATTTCCCTCGGAAATCTTGTTTTCCCTCCTTGATTAGCTTCATTGCTAGCATCATTTGTCTCACCTCACGATCAAACGATGGTCTATACCCCTTGTCACTGAACACCGCTTTGCGAGCTACCTGCAAATATTTTGGATCCACCAGACTGATGCCTTCATACACCTCCATCAGCGCTTGAAGACCGCAATCGTGAACGAATTCTCGAACCCAAAATATGATATTGTTTTTGATATTTGCCCTGTATCTTCGGGGACCGCGTGCATCGTCGTCCCAATAAGGTGCTACTGCAGACCAACCACTGCAAGGACAAGGTGATTGTTCGGAAGCAAAGTTGGTGAGACACTCCCAACAATGACAGTGAGTATGTATTATGTTGTGATCGTGACCTCGCTGCTCGCTCGTACAACAGATAGGTGGACTTCCGCCGTCTTGTGGATCGTGGATTTGGGCCGCTGGAGCTGGCGGAAAAAATGCTACAGTGGACGGGGTTTCTGAATATGGCGGTGGTAGATAAGACATTTTAAAAAAAGCTTTAAAGATCCGTACTGAGATTACAAAGCGTTGCTCTAATGTGATATCCAAGAACGGTTGGTAAAGAACAGGTTAGAATCCCATACGTCTGAAGATTTGTTTCTATTTATGGTTTTTGAGAACTCTGCTAGTTAAGTAGAAACCATTCACGGACGACACTGTTATTCTATTGTCGTGTTGAGATTCACGCCTTTTTGAAAATTTGTTAGTACCCAACTTGTTACTCCCACCTGATGATGAGCCGTAGGTAGGTTTACATGAATGTGATTAGATTCTTAGCTATTATTAATATGTCTAAAAGCTTTTACTAAAATTGAACAGTTGTAGCATTCAATGTTTCCTTGTTCAAGCTTAAAAACATTTGAGGTGGTGCCCTAAGTATTCGTTGCGAGGCGTTGACCAATGACCTTGAAGTTTTTGGTAATGGCAAATAGATCCGAAGAGTTAGGCTTCATGCTTATCTCAGATCTTGCTGTGAATGATATATTGCGTGACTCATCGGACCAAGGCCCAACATCCAATTTTTTTTTTACGAGGCTGCTGGTTGTTTTGACTCATGGGACGGCTTTATTGCTGAAACGCCTTTATAGTAAAGAGATAAAGCATGAAGACCCTTGAAATTACGATATTTATAGGAGAACCTTTAAACTCCCTTAAAAAGCTTGGAAAAATGTGTATCCACTTATTTTAAGAATAAGACACGATTGACATAAGTGTTAGTAAAGTACTAATATTCGCAACTACGGAGTTATGCGGCGACGTGTAATCGCGAATTACATTAGAAGCATATATCCTTTCTCCAATTAGATCTTAACAAAGAAGAAGGAAGAATTATTATCCACGGTTGCTTTGTTTCTCGTGTTTCTTCTAAATTTGCCGAATGTATTACAAGTCCAGGGCACGGCGGTGAGATTCGTTATCTCTTAGAGACGATTTCCGAGCCTGGGATCCTTCTTTAAGGTTAGGGGTAAAGTCCGACAGGAGATTAACGGAGAGGTTCGATTTTTGAACTCTGTGTATGACACGACAGGTCACCTTTCTTAATGATGCTTGGTGAACTTGCCCTAGCAGAGTGGGAGAGTGTTTTGAAGAATGAGGACTATGAAAAGAACTGAGAGTAAGGGAAGAGAAAACGGAAGATCTGGTGCAGTGTCTTCAGGAGATAGATCCTATCAGTTGGTCTTAGTGATAAATGAAATGAGCAGTTGGATACTTTGTGTACACTCACCACCCAAAGTTTCCACTGCCACAACCCCGCAAAATGACAGAATGACAAGTGATAAAACGAATCAAAAGAACATACAACAGCAGGGATTCGCTGATGGTCACCCACTCAACTACTGATCTGCCGATCTAAGGCTTATGTATGGCAGAGCGGACGGGATGCCCAGTTCTCCTTAGTCTGTGGTCGTATGTGACAGTCTTCTGGTTGTTGGTGGTTATATATGAGAGCTGTCAACAAGTACCTCAATACGCTTTCTAGCCTGCCGTAGATATAAGAAAGCTCAGAGTAGCATTCACATGGAAAAGGGAAGGGTACGAGCCATGTATTGTTTTCCAGCGAATAAATTTCATGCTTTAAATGCCAGGTTAGCTTTCATGAAGAGGCGACGCAAACGCCAGACCCTCTATTAATATGCAGAGACGAGACGAATTCGAAGATGGTGGCCGACCGCTGGCCAAGCGACAATTGTCTGCTCGGAGAATCTAATAGCTATAATATACTGTACACTCACCAATTTCCATGGGTAAACTGTACAACCACACATAATAAGATATTTTTGTCGGAGCCTCTTTTCTTCTCACTGCATCGCGTCCAAGTTACAAAAACAAGCAGGTCCTGTGAAAGTCGTACTCCAAACAACGCTCCAAACAGTGCACTCCGAGGGAGTCAAATTATGCTCCCTTTTCAACGCTACCGTATCATCTCATTCAGGTGGAGAAAAGAGCAAAATTTGACTCCCTGGGAGGCATATATTGGGCTGACATCTAGTGGAGCAAAATTCGTCTCCCTGACGGACGCTGGAAAATGCTGACAAGGCAAGTTTTGGCTCCCCCGCGCTGGCGCATCCATTTCGTTGGCGTGCGAGGATTCGGTGATGTGAGCGACTACGGTGCGTTGATTGGGCACCACTATAGCCTGGAGCACGTTGACTTTTAACCGTCCAACCTGCACCACGGCACACTAGAACTTAGAGCACAGTGACTTTTAACACTACTCAAACCAGGATTATCACGTGCTAATAGAACATATTCCTATATAAACTTCCGTCTATCCCTATAGTCCTTATTGTCCAGTTAAGATCCCTGATTGAGCTATATTCGGAACATGTGTCTTTATAGCGGTATGATTATAGCACGTGATACACACGGTAGTAATATATTACATAATCTTACGTGATGAGCTTTTATTTCCATCTCTACATGTGGACATTTTTGCATTTTTGCATTTTGTGTGGGCAGGCAGACGGGGATAACTGCTTGTGGATGTACTGTATTGACAGAATTCGGACCCCTGACTGGGCGAAAGGGGTCCTTTTGGGCCCTCGTTCAAAGTTGACGATTTCTGATGAGATATATCAACAGGATAAGCAGACCTGAGCCGTGCCTGAGCCGGGCTGAGGAAAGGCGGCGTTAAGCATCGGCATTCCGGTGGTATGGGATTTCGGCATGATTGTTTTCCATTCCACCTCTAGACCTGAGCATTTGGTGCTGTAATCTGAGTTGTGCCCTGAATATGCTGCTTAGTCAGCCAGCGTCGTCCGAGACCATAGTTTACAGCACCAAAAGAACTGTTGCCTCAGGCCTTAGACGATACATTCCATTGGTAAAAGTTGTCCACTTTTTAATAGCTTACTAATATATTTAAATAAGCACAGTGACGACAACAAACAAGGACCGCTGGCGCAACGGTAGCGCGTTCGCCTCCAGAGCGAAAGGTGTACGTACAAACAAATTCGCACATCTTTACTTTCATCTAATAATTATAATAGTATCCGTTCAAATCGGGTGTGGTTCAATTCCTTCGACCTAAAAACTCTTTTGTCTTTTTTTTCCCTCGCTTTTCAGTGCACTGTATCATCATGCCCATGCATGACCAAGAATGGTAAAAGAAACTACAAAGAAATCGATCGAATTGATGAACGAATTGTCTTATGACAAGCGCTGTGCATAACCTCGAGCATTCTGGATCATCCAAAATGCGTCCTCGATCGCAGAGCCCTCCGGGAGTCTTGAACCAAATGGCTCCGACAATTCGCCGCACACAGGTGACAAGAGCACCTTGGCTAGTTTTAGGAAGTCTCTCTACGAAGAGTTAATGTTTCGCATAGCAGAGAATGATATCATTGGAAGGCAGCCGCTTCCACCTGAGCTGGTGGAATACTGTTTTCCCAAGAGGGCTGACTACACTGCTTGGGACACCCTCCTCTGCCAGCCACTAAGCCTCCCTGATAGCGTTCTTTCTTCTATGTTCAGTCTCAAGGAAGATAACGGTCTCTCCAATTATATCAGATCGCCAGATACGCCAATCATCTTCTACCCAAGATCGTCTCAATGACTGTATCTCAATTGAAAGGTATTATTGCTGATTGGGAGGCTCGAAAATATTATTACAGCGAAGCTACTACTTGGTTGAGTATGACTGCAACAATGAGCTCAAAGGAGATTGTCTATATCCGCTGTATTGGTGCCACTGAAAGGAAGACTCCATTTCAACCCTACACTGCATATTTCTCTTCTAAAACTGGTCCTATACTAGCAAAATTCTTGGAAACAGTTGGTCGATTGTGTCCAATCGTCCTGGACAGTGTTGCAATATATGAGGTTGACGAAGCAAATCATCTCAGCGCCAAAATTTGCTCGCTACCTGAATGGAAAGAAAACAAGGCTATACAAACCCTCCCAGAGCAAGCATTGATTGCATTGATTGGGTTTTCTTCCCTACTTAACCAGGCGGTCGATGGCCTTTTCACACTTACAATCCAGGCGACGAACAACGAGCTGTTTTCAAGTCTCTGCAAACTGGAAGTATCGAAGCCATGCACCAAAATTTGCAGACTGCGCCTGTCGACTTAATCAATAAACTCCGACCCTGGGCGCGAAGCGTCTTTGACCATGGTATAGAGCGTCAACGATTGCTGCAGGCCGTCGAGGAAAGCCTTTCAGACCCTGGCTTCCCTTCGAAGATCTATCGATTTTCCGAGGCGCTTCAATCAACAATTATGAGTCAGGCGGTACCTGCACTTTGTCAGGGTCAGTTCACACTCGTTGTTACTATTGGCGCTGAAATGAGTAAGGATGCCTACGGGAAAGCCGAGCCATTCTATACGGGACAGAGTCGCTCTGCAGATTTGATGAAGAAAGTCCTCTCAAAGTTGTACGAATGGGAAGGTCTCAAAGGGACATCTTCATTTACAATCAATCCTCTGATTGAACGTCAAGGTTTACCTTTCGTGAACCTACTCCCATGGCTGAATTGCACTAAGGATGACATGTCCGCTGCCATTGGGCATTTAGAACAGTACCTAGGGATAACTCGCCCGTACATCATTCTCATCTTGGGAAAACACCCTTCGTCTGTTGTTACTTCCAATTTTCAGCATTCTTTCGGATACAAAGGTTGAGATCCGTTCTATCATAAGGTAGAGTGCTGGAAGTAGTAGGCACGGCGATTGGTCTAGTGTACAAATACCCTGTTTCCATCCTCGAAGGGGAGAGTACAGTGGTCAAACGGCACGATGGCGAATACGACGAGGAGGATGAGGGGTATTATGGTGCTGGCTGGGGAGGAAGAGGCGGTGATAGAGGTGGTAGTGCGAGTGGATGGGGAAGGGGTGGTGTGAGTGTAAGGGGCAGAAAGAGAGAAAATGGATTAAGTGTTTGGGTTGAGAAGCGAAGTGATGACAATGAGGACTGTGAGAAAGCGGGTGGTAGTGGAAGGGGAGGACGTGGTGGAGGAGGCGGTGGTAGAGGTGGGATAGGTACTGGAAGAGGTGCTGGAACAGGTGGGAGGGGAAAAAGCACCCGTGGTGGGTTCAGAGATCGAGATTCAGCATGAGAGACATGGCTGCAATATCAGCGGGGTAGGAGAGCAATTCCCGATCACGAGAAATCTGATCTAATCTAGAGAATAAGGTCTTCTTGTGCACCGGGGGAGATCTCCACTAAGTTGTGCTTTTTGAATATTACTGGTTGTTCATCGCGTGCCCAACATCAATGTCTCACACAAACAATACTAAACCATCTCGGCTTAACTCCGAAAAGCAATGAGACAAAAGCTTGATCCAGACTTGCGCCATATGCATTGTTCTCAGCTATCAGATTGTGGTCCAATAAGATGAGGGTCTTTGTTGAGACATGGCTGCATGAGTGTATAAAGTTTGTGGAATGAGGCATGACGGGAGCAGAATGGATGTTGTCCAGCTGACTTTGTTTTGGGTACTTCACTTCTTCACACCGCTTTGAATCTCTTCTCTGCACTTGAAGATCTTCTACTAAACGAATTCTTGGAAAACCAAGGACGAAATAAACAGAATCATGCTCTACAATTCTTTTCTGACCGTCTTTGCGATGGCGATTTCGCTGCAAACAGTAATGTCCGCCTTCCTCCCTCCGTAAAAGATTCGAATGCTTACTTCTTATTAGCGCATTGCCAACACCTCATGTAATTAGTCAAAAAGATACCCATGTAATCTCTCCCATGTTGGAGAGAAGATCTCTTCCACTTGGAGACTTTCTTGGCGACATCGCAGAACGCACTCCTGGCGGGAGTAGATGGGGAGGTAGAAATGCGGAGGCTGGGGAAGTAGATGGAGTGGAAGAGATGCGGAAGCAGGTGGCAGTAGATGGAGTGGAAGAGATGCGGAAGCAGGTGGCAGTAGATGGGGAGGTAGGGAAGCAGAAGCTGGCGGTGGTCAATGGGGTGGAAAGAGAGAGGCTGGTGGGAGGGCCTGGGGAGGATAGACTAGAGGTGATAAGAGGGAGCCTGGTGGGAATGCTTGGGGTAGGAAGACCAAGGGAGGGAAGAGAGAGGCAGGTGATTAGGATGAGAAGGTGAAAATGGTGATGTGTCTGGTGTTCTGATGCGTATGAATTGATGCTGTTGGAATTGAAGGGCTTGGATTTGCTGAGTTGGTAATTGTTTAACCATGATGTATTTATCTGACGATTTTTAGAATGTTTATATATGATTGCTGGAAGTAAATTTACGAATAAAACTTGGTCGTTTTGATATCTTCTTGTTGATTGCGATGCTTTGAACTATCGCGGCGACTTCGTGTCAGGATGTTGAGATGTGAAGATTCTTTAGTGCTGGAGACGCCAAGTTTACAGCGCCAAAAGCACGCTAAAACGCACACTTCTCCCACGTCACCCAGCATCAGCATACCCGCAAATTCTCCGAATTACTCCACAACACCTACTCCTGGCACCCACATCAATTGATCGTTGAATATGGCATCCTTAGTCTCTCTGCCCCAGAGGTCATTCAGCTCATCTTTACTGCCCTTCAACGCGTCACGTCTGGACCCCGCTACATCCTCAATCCACCACGCCGTGACCACTCAAAACTACTCCCAGCAGATTTTGAGAATCCCACGGAGGATGATGAAGATGCCCTTCACGCGCGATGGAACCTAGCAGATCCTGGGCCAGTGTATCTGGCGGCGACAAGCAGAACCCTTCGCAGTAGCTACCTTTCCTTTGCAATGCCCTCGAATCTAATACTCGAATTTCACGGCCCCATCGATTATGCGAAGAAGGATGAATATTGTTTCTGGCATGACAAACAAAGGAATGGCAATCTACTGGCACATCTGAAGAGGTTGAAGAAAGGTTTGGAGGGGAAGAGACTGGCGAGGTTTATGCTGGACTCGAAATGGGAGGAGAAGGGGTTTTGGAAGGAGCCCTTGTATAAGGAGATCTGGAGCGAAATACTGAGAGATGTCAGTGAGGTCTTTGGAGATGAATTAATGGTCGTAATCTGTTGTGAAGGAGAAGATGTTCAGAAGGATTTTCGGGATTATGCGCCGAGGAATATAAGAGAATTGGAGTTTTTTGATAGACCACTGGGACCCCAGCCTGTGCTGAATGCAGAAGATGAGTCCGTTGAGGAGACATCTACCACGCCTCGAACCCGTACCCTTCGCCATTCTCGAGACCCTCTTCCTCCCATCAATCCTCAGCCAGTATCCCCCAGACAATCAGGCCTCTCCATTGCAGCACCTCTACATATTCATTGCTACTCCGGCTACAGACTAGTACAAGCAGATATCCGGATGGGCTACGCTCTCTCCATGTTCGCGAACAAGAACCTCAAATCTCTCTATTTCTCCTCTGATCCAAATAACTTCAGTCTTCTAGGACATGGTCGACGTCCCGCTGAGGGCCACGAGCTGTACAAGATGAAGAATCAGTTCTTCCCTGGTAATCCATGGAGGCACTTATTACCTTCTCTTAGCTCCGCGTGCGAGACTCTCGAAAGTATTACGCTTGATTGTTCACTCTTCTGGAGCGAATTAGCATACTGTTTACCCCATCTCTACAAATTAAAATATTTGGACTGCGAACTAGCCCTTTTACATACTGAGCCTATGTATCCTTTCCAGTTGGAAACGAAAGAAGTCGCTGGCAACCGCATACTTGAAACATGTCTGAGTAGTGAAAACACAACGAAGAAGGAGCGAGCGCTAAAGAAGAATAAGGGCAAGAAATGGATTCAGATTGATAGAACGGGTATTGTTCTACCTGGGATCGAGCCCGAGGTGAGGGATATGCCGATGGATGTGACCATGAGGGATAGATTTAATACTGTGGATATGAAGGTTTGTTTGCAGGTTATCAGGAGGAGGATTGTGAGGTCGAGGAGGAAGTAAGGCAGACATTCGGGATGTGGCCATCATTCCATACACCAATTACAACCTCAGCAACACCCTTCATTATATAAAATGCATCTACTTTCACACCGCAAGTACTTATGTTCTTGAGAATTCAACGACTCATGGTTCTGTCTATCAGAAA